AAGAACTATAATTTTTATCCTTATTGTCCATAGATTCATGCCATAGTAGGAGACTTCTGAGTGACACACGTTTCGGCATGATTCTTTTGGGTTGGACTGTCTTAACAGAAGGTACGCGGGACTTTAAGTGGAACTCTCAAACTTCTCGAACCAATCTGTTGGCCGACAATTTCTACGATTAATGAGACAAAAAAATTCAATTCTAGCACAGGAAACACTAGCATCACAGCACATTGCTCTTTTGATAAAACTTATTATATTTTATTAAATACTGATGGTTAAAACCTATAAGCGTGTAGCATTTTTCTTTTGACGCTACTAGACCGTACGCACGATCAGAGTGTAACGGGGTCTTGTATGAAATGGTGAGTTGCACAAGATGGTGGACCGTACATAGGTTTGGATTAGTTATCACACATTGGTGTGGCTACACCGTAACAAGAAGCCGCAGTCGTGCATATTAATTAGGTCATATTGTATTAATTAGGTATTACTATATTAATAAGGAAAACCTAGGGTTTTAGATAGTGGCGCAATAAAAACAGTTTCGATTTTGAACGGAAGAATTCATTTAGCTTGGCTAAGGATTTAAGTCATCTTGGAGGCAGCGGATTATGATCCGCTGCACCCGTACTCGTACTTGTAATGAACGTAAGGTCGGTAACCTTTGCTCAGCTTCCTTTGAGCAAAGAGCTACGGCAGCCCCGCTGTGCTTGGCAGCACTCTTAGTCAGTCTACGCCTGAGTCCTTACGACTGACCCTCTTTAAGGATGAAGCAATACCTCAATTTGCCCCAGTGTAACGCGTGTGTGGAGTTGGTGGCAAATTAGAAAAGTGATCGTGTTTCTGGTTATCTTTCTGCTGATTATAATCGCTAACTCTTTAACCGTTATCTTGGTTAACTCGGTACACATTATACCATCAAGACATGTCTTGTTACATCTCTCTTTTGGCCGGCTTGTGTTTGAACAGATTTTTTTTTTTCGTTTAGCACTATGATTAATTCCCTGAAATGAGAAAGATGTTCAGATTCTTCTCCGGATTCCATGTTGCTCCAGATGCTGGATATCCATTCCATTTCACCAAATATTCTTGCTTACGATGAACTCTTCGTTTCTTCTGTCACGCTTCGGCAATGAACAATTCTTCACAATTGTTTCCATCGAGAATGATTGGTGTAGCGTTTGGTATTGGTCTAGACTTGAACTGTTCTGGTGTTTCCTCGAAATGCTTCAGTCTATCCACGCTGAACACATCATGCATTTTCTCCATCGACTTTGGCAACTTAAGCTTCATGGCGCTCTCATTTATGACTTGAGTGATTTCGAATGGTCCAATGATGCGCGGTACCAATTTTGGCTTCTCATTCTTGTCACTTGTCTGAGCATGTTTCAATGGCAAGTTTCTGGTCGCTAGTAATACCATTTTTTCCATTTTGAAAGTGACGTTCGATCGTTTCTTGTCATAGTAAACTTTCTGTCTGGCTTGAGCTCGCTCTAGAATTTTTGTCGCGGGTTTCATTATCTTCTGCGATATTCTGCAAATTTCGAAGCGTACTTGTTTGTGCTGATCAGTCGGTTGACGACGGGATTTCTCGGCTTTCTCCCTGTATCCACGTCGGAGGGTGAAAATCATGATGAAGTTTGCACCAAACTATGGTGCGCATACCCGATCTTTCGCAGATCATCTACCCAGTCTTTTCCAAGATACGATACTTGACAACCCGTGAGTCCCCGAGTGTTCTGTTCTGACGCTCCGTAGCTCCATCTACTTGTGCTCTTCCTGATATCGTCATGTATTGCTGGATTCCCGTGCAATTCATCATCTCTCTCCAAACGTTTGAAGTAAACCCTGGATCTCGATCAATTATAATCACTGTCGAGAGTCCATGATGTCTGACTACGTGATCAAAATGCTCTCTTGCAGTTAGTGGCGCATCGGCTGTTGTCTGGGTCGGAATAAGCTTAACTTTCTTCAATAATTTGTCCACAACAGTCATGACGGCGTCTTTGCTTTTCGAAATTGGTAATCTTGTTATTCAATCCACTGAAATCGTACGCTAACATTCTCTAAGGGCTACGATAGGCATCAACTTTCCGTTCGCTCTCAAATTGTTTGTCTTGTAGCGATTTGATGTCTCACAGGTTGACCCGTACAATTTTACATCCTCATCCAGTTTATTTGAATAGTACCATTGTGAAACACTTAGCTGTGTTCGCCGAAATCCTGGATGTGCGGTAATGCCCGAATCATGAGCTTGCGATATAATTTATCCTCTGATGCACGGATCGTTGGATACACATCATCTCCACACCTGGTTACTTGTTTTGAGGAAGTATAAATCATTTTTGAACGCAAATGCGCTCTCGTCTGAACATTTTGGCAAACAATGTACTTCCTTGACTCGTTCTTTTGTATCTGCATCCATCTCAATCCTGCTGTATCAAGTCATTGTTAAATTATTGACAACATGACGTTGTGGCGTCCCAACTATTATTTTTTGCTCGTTCCCTCCCCCGAAAAAAAGTGTGTCAATCATGATCTCCATGTCACGATCGGACAAGCTTGACATGGCTGCAACACGCTCTCTGTGGCGTTCGCAGTTTTCTCTCCGTTTGAGGCATTCCTTCCTGCACTCATGCATCTGGCAGATGTTGAAACGAATTTGCTTCGACGGAGGTCGAGATACTACATTCAGCTTTTCTGGTCGATGGTGCAAAGTAAAATCGAATCGACTGTAAAAGTCCAACCATCGTTTCAACTTCGCCGTCAACATCGGCGTCTCCGTAAACCACTTGCATGCCGAATTGTCTGTATAGATGTCGAATGTGTTCCGTGCAGATAACGTCTCCATTTGACCAATGCTAGCTTGGTAGAGTACAGCTCTCTCTGGTGTGCTGACCAGTTCAATTCCTGTAGACCCATCTTCTGTGATAAAAAGGCTACAGGGCGGTCGTTGCTGTCTGCATCTTGCTGCGAGATAACAGTTCCTCAACAGTATCCTGATGCGTTGGGGGTCACAATAAATGGTCGATCGTAGTTTAACAATTGCAACCCTGGCGCTTGCTACAATGCAAGCTTGATTGTCAAAACCTTTTTACGCTGTTCTCATCCCAACGCCATGTCGTAGACGGTTTTACTATATCACTCAGTGGCAAGACTAGCTTGGCGTAGTCTGCAGAACTTTTTCTAATATCCTGCTAGTTCTAGATAACTCAACAGCTCTAGGCGGATAAACATTCTGTAATATCCTACTAGTCCTACAAAACTCAACAATTCTTGGCGAGTAGTCGGCTCTCGCCGTTTCTCTATGGCGCATATTGTCTTTAAATCCACATGTAATCCTTCTTTTGATATATTATGTCCTAGAAAATCCACTTTCTCGGCTCCAAATTTGCTCTTGCGTACAATTTTCTCGTTTCAGTACTTCAAAAACAATCTCCAAATGATCCATGTGATCTTTCATAGTTTTGGGAAAGACACAAATGTCGTCCATAGAAACAACTACGAAAGGGAATCTGTCAAAGGGAAACCTCATAAGTCTGGACCATTCTCCTGGCATCACATCCATACCCATAGGCGCAACACACCATTCAAAGACTTCGCTGTGCGTGCGAAACGCAGCGTATTCACTTGCTTCTTGAACCCAAACATTTGGTAGTATTCTGATGAAAGATCAATCTTCGTAAAGACTTTGTATCCAAACACTCGATCAAACAGGTCTTCAGTGCTCGGCAGCAGAATCTTTGGTATCTCCTTTTAAGAGTTGACATTACGTTTGTCCAATACACAGTGAATTGGCGTGTCTGCCGTCAGAGTCTTGAACCATGTGGCACGATAAGGCATCTGCCTTTCTGCATCTCTTTTTGGCACTCCAAATCTGTTTGAAATTCAGTCACCGTTTGACAATTGGATCTAGCCCTTCTATTTCAAATTTCGCATAAACTTATCCAATAACCAAAACTTTAGAAGAAAAAATGATTTTTGCTCTACTTTCAATATTCGAAATGGTGGAGTATTCTTTGTTTTCACTTCAAGTTTCTTCAGCGGGGCTGCCATAGCTTAGCGCTTGAGGAAGTGCAATCTAGGTACCGACCTTTCGTTCTTGTTTGGGAGCAGTCACACCATGCATCTCGTGTGACATACACACCTGTTTCCAGGGTACGTGTAACCCCGTTACACCCTCCCCCATTAAGATTGAGAGCATTTTCAGTTCTGATCCATTATTGTCTCAACGAAGCTCGCGTGTCCGCTAGACATTGCAGCTTACTTCGTTGCAATTGAAATGACTATCTTGCTCAATGAGCCTAGTGTCCACGACACGGAAGTCACCAAGTCTCGCTGGTTCTCACAGCGAGCACGGGCAGAGCCCAACTTCATCTCCCGCATGCGGTGCGATGTCGGCCAGTGTGTCCGCGGCACCGGGGGATGTACATCCTAGGCTCGATGAGCACGAACGTCGCGCATTGCACACGCTTTCTATGACGCGTGAACTCGTTGAGGATATGGAGGTGGTCGACTACGAGTCTGACACTCCTTTTCCCGCATGGGATGACGTGGAAGGCGAGCTGCGCCAGCGGCGAGATACGAGCCCTGCTCGTGCCTTGCGGACCCCATGTCCGTTCCTCAACTTCTCGTCAGCCGAGGACCGTGGTGTAATCACCAATGACCTCGACAAGGCTCAGAGGCGGCATCTTGAACCTGCAATAAAGCGTCTCTAAAGCGCGCCCATCCAAGGCTGGTCAGTGACTCTCGTGTGGAATATGGCTTCCGTCCAGCTAGGCCCGCCGTGGAAGCGAAGGATGCGGTAACTCTATCGTAACGCGTCCACATCATCGGGCCCCCAGCCAGAACGGATGATGAACTTACCACACAGAAAGTTCCTCGAGCTCAATTCTTGGTCCCACAAGAAATTCCATCGGAAGCTTATCGCACTCGTCTAAGTGATCAACGAGGTGGTTCTTATGTACCCGCAATGCGAACGATACCTGTAGCTCTCGCCCCTGACAAAAACGCTACAGATGACGAAGCGCTCATTGAGCGATGGGTGCAACGGCATCGAAAACTTTCCTCACTGCATAACCTGCAGTTTAGCCAAAAGGAAGTGGACGTGCTTGTGGAACGACACCACGACTTTGATGTTGCTAAACTCAAGGCACGTCATCGACTTCCTTCGGATTGTTGCCCCGCGACGTATGGGTTAACACCTATCGCTCCTGCGAGCTCTGCGGTTTCGACCGCAAGAGCTCAGGGCCACTGCTTGAGCTCACACATGTCCCATCTGCTCCCCTGGCTATTGCCGGGAAGCGCGGGGCGTCTGATGACGCGTGACGTCCTGATCTTTCTAATCAAAATCGTCCACGGCAACTGAGCAATCTTC